AAATTAGCCAAGGATGGAAATAACAAAGTTGAGTTTTTTGGAAATTGCTTGCTCTAATCCCGACTACTAGTATGATTAGTTGCTTTGATATTTTTCTGTTGCTGTGTGGTTGGAATGCTCTAGTTGTTTCTGCTTTTGCCCCTGCTTTGGTTGTTGCAATTTTATTGTTCTTGCTGTTCCTAGGTCTTTCCATGGCTGCTCTGCTTTGTTTCTGTTTTGAGCATGGGTTGCTTTGGCTGTTGCTTGTTCAAGTATTTCTTGAGTCTGCATTTGTTTCGATGTGGGAGTTCCTGGATCGCATTGAGTTTCTTTTTTTTAAAACAAAGTGATTTTGTTGGCCTCAACCCTTATGCCATTCCAACTCTAATGCTTGTCTACAATAGACTTTCCATGGCACAATGAGTAGGTCCGGGCATACGAAACCAGTACACTTGCAAAAGAACCATGCCATAAAGCCATTGGCGATACCTAACAAAAAACCTAAGTTAGTAAACTAAATCACAAGATATGCCAAAGCATTGCCTAGTCTTAAGCAAAAGGAGATCATTGCAGCAGTAACGAGCAATGACTTAAAACACAAGAAACGCATAACCTTGGTACAAGTGAGCACACAACCAAACTATTGGAGTTGCCTACTTACAAAAGGCCGGATGTACTCGATCAAAGAAAAGATTAAACAGCCCACATCACACATCAAAGAGGGAAAAACAAAGCCTCTTTGACGATGCAGCTTGACAGCCAAAATAACGTTAGCACCCTGTGGGAAAATCTTGAGCAATCTGGAAGACTCAAAAAGAGAGGAAAGTAAAAAGCAAAGCAACCACTACCACCGAAAGAAGGAAGCCAAGTGAAAACCCATAGCTTTGGCCTCTTAAAAAGAATTCCCTCTAAGCCTGCAACATAAACTGCGATCAAGACCATCCCTTCCCTCCCTTCTCTCTGCTAGGTGACCAGCCACCACACTAAAACGCCCCCCTACGCTTTTGCCCCACCGTTGACAAATGAGAAGCCCCTTGCCTCACACAACCGTCAACCTCTCTCTATATTAGAACCAAAACTCTCCTCAACTAACATTCGAAGAACCTCGCCATACATCATCCCCTCCACACTTTTGAGGGACACAATCAGTCATCTTGCCAACCTTTTCGAGGGTTGCATTGAGATCTTGACCTCATTTCCAAATCTCTTTTACAACTTGGGTCGGTTTTGAGGTTTTGATTTTTTCTTGTGTTTGGTTTTGTTGTTTTGGATTCTTGTTTTGGTAGCTTCTTTTCCTTTATTAACGATAATCTTTACTACTTTTCAAAAAAAAAAATTGTAGCAAACATTTGTAAAATTTGTGGGTAGAATTGGCACAGAATTAAAAATTGGATTGACTTACAAAATGGCCATGAAGTGCATCGGTTGGTAGGGGTAGAGCCTAGTGTGTTTATGGCCAAAATTTTTAAAATGCTGTTTTAGATAGTTGATTTTAGTCATTATCTATTCTCTAAAGAATTATTTTGTTGCATAATGCTATAAAGAGAATAATGAGAACAATTAGAGTAAGTGAAGCATTATTTCATTAAAAACAATTAGAACAAGTGAAGCACTGCTTCACATGGAATAACTACGCCGCACAAAATAATTACTTCAAACAGATAACAATGAAAAAAATCCGCAATTAGTTCAGGTTCACGAGTTATTTTCATTTTGAGATGTTTTGAAAAGTTTAGTTTAGTGGCTCAAATATGAAAGTAGTTAAGAAATCTTCTTCTTAACTTTTTTCAGAAATACAAGTGTGAAATACAAGTGTTTCTCCCTCTTACATTATTTTTGTATATCTATTCACATACACCTTCTTCTTTTGTACCTGAAATACAAATATTTTTTTCTCTTACATTATTCTCGTATACCTGTTCATATACATTTTCTTCTCTTGTATTTATTCAAGTATATCTTTTTCTCATAACTTATTCTTGTATAACTTTTCATGTATGCTTTTTCTCTATTACCTATTACTTAAGAATAAGTCTTAGTCCATTTAATTACTTTAACATTTATATGATGAGCTTTTAACCGTTACTCATTATATCCAGTAAAATGACCATTTTAATATC